GCTATATGGAAAAAACATCGCGGAAAAAGAGAAGATTGAAATGCCACAGATGGTCCCTTCTGCGTTCCTTCCTCGCTTTATTTTTACGGTAATAACGACGACGCTCTTCGTTGTCCATTATTCCATCGCGTTTGCTTTCATATCCTTGAAAGATGATGAGGCGGAGAAGTTTCTCTAAAAATTAATATATAATGTCGAAAATTGAAAACGATGACCTCGGTATTCTTGTTGAGAAGAAGTAGATACCAGATACATCAATCAGGATCCGTCAATCAAACTAAGATCGCGACTAGTACCGAACTTATCGTAAACTATTTTTTTTACCGTTCTTTTCTATACACGTACTCAATCATCGTGAAATTTTTAAGACAAAGAATTCAAAGAATTCATTGCGTGAAATAGGATAGCGTTATCTCAAAAATAACCCACTTCTCTTCCCTTTTCTTCAAATCCGATTTTGCAAAAAAATCATTTGTCCTCCTTCTTTACAGTTTTTTAGATTCTTTTTTACGCTATGAAAATGCGGATATGATGCAGTATGAGGAATCTGTCTTTATGGAAAATACAAGGATTAGAAAATTTTCAATTAAGATGTTATAACATCGATATGGCAAATCAATTTGTTATGTAAAAAGCTTGTAAGCCGAAAAACAATGTTTATATGTATCATTTTCATGTAATTTTTCTTTGATTGGGATAGCAATTGTGCTTTAAGATTTTAATCATTTAATTATTATAAATGTCTTTATAAATGTCTTTATAAATGTCTCGGTTCATAATTCCTCGTCCGTTACATTATTATACAGAAAGAATTTATTATTTCCAATTTAGAGAGAAAGTATTACGATTTAACATTAATTCGTTTTTCGAATTTAGTACTTTAGTCGATAAATACAATTCAATTAGTGAATTATAGGGCATTCGGGGGATTAATGAATTATGTACCTACTATTGGAAGTACTTTTGTGAAAAAAGACGAAATATGGCACACACATGTGAGAGAGCACATTTAAATTATATCCGTCTTTTGTTTAATTGTTGGAATTCATTAAATATAATATTTCAGTATATAGTATTTAACTTCGTTTTGTTGAGTTTTATAATACCTTCTGCGCGACGCGAAGTACGTTGCTTTTAATAAAATAATAATTTATATTTAATAAAATAGTATTTGAGTAAAAGAAAATGATAGGAATAAGCAATTTTAATAGTAGCAGTAATTAAATAACCAAAATTCTATTTAAAAAATTGTAATCATTCCTTTGCCAAATAGTATGAATGGCATAGAGCAACGGAGCTCTTTATTTCCACAAATTGTAATATTTCATGGTTATTATGCATTTTACAAAAGCATTTTACGCGCAGAGCTTCAACTGCTTTCTCGAGCTTAATGAGTCTGTCTGAACTTCTCGCTGTACATGTTTCCCTGAAATTCCGGAAGATTATTCTAGTCCCTATCCACTTTATATTCACACTTACATCTCCGCAATACGAATTTCGCGATAGCGTATCACGAATCTAAGTACATTTTCCACGTTGCGCTGAGGTAAAGTCTCTTAACACCCATGGAGACGTTTTCCTAACACGCTTTCCGTTCGCGAAGAGACTTCGACTTGGGTTTCAGGCTCGTTAACTGGCACCTTCGCGTTGGATGAAGAGAGAGAGAATCATCGTTATATATCACGCGTCTTTTCCTCGCCATTATCGCGCGCAGAATTGCACGCGGATTTTTGCCACAGTATTCATATTTAACAAGGAAAAGTTCGCCGAACTTTTGTTCTTCCAGAAGATTAATCACGCGAGCCTTCGTCATTACGCGTTTTCCCTTTTCCCACGACGCGCCGGCCGGCTTTTCGCGCCGCGCGAATAATACCCGTCAAATAATATCGCAGGGTGTATTGCTCTTGCGCGTTGAATGCGCGACATTGAAAAACGACTTTTGCGACCTTAGAAATAAAGCCGAATAGATCCGTGGTCATTTTGTTTTTAAAACGCCAGGAATCGTCTTTCAATTTCGACAAGTTTTTCTTTCGCTTTCCTGAATTGATTCAACAATATCGGTGGTTTGTTTCCCGGGACAAAGTTGTTGTAAGTGTGACAGAAATCTAATTGACAATTTGACAAAGATAGAGAAACACTGATCAACAAAAGCGATGGCAATCTATGCCATGTTCAAAAAACTCCTCATTAATAGCGTTTTTCATTGACAGAACTAGTGCGCACTCGATACACTTTAAAGTCGTACCCAAATCGACATAAAGATGTACGTTTAATAAAAATATAGAAACGAATGAAATCGTGAAAAATTAATACATTTTATTGTGCTATTTGATAAAATATATTTGATAAAATACACATTGAGCAACATTTTATCAACTGAGATATCTCATTTTTACATTTAGATTAGAATAGTGTACAACAGCTTTAATGTGCACTGAGTGCGCATTAGTCCTGCCAATCAAAAGATGTTATATAATTACGTGGAAAATTGTGTCCCTATGAAATATTATAAATTAGGATGCTTTCCATTTGACATAATGTGATATAAGTATTCTATTTTTATTATTTATTGAACGTTAATTCTCTGTTTACGATCATGCCTTCTTGCATTTATATATATTTTAACATTATTATTTTTATTGTCTCTGTATACTTTAATTGTCTCTGTATGTTCTGTACAAATTTTGTTTATTTTAATTGTCTCTTTGTTTTGTAATAATTTTGCGTTTAATATCTTAATTATGCCTTTTTGCATTTATACTTTAAACATTCTTGTCTTCTTTCTTTCTTGAAACTATCGCGTTGTTTATTAAACAAGATATACTCTCAAATATTGTCTGTAATTCGTAATTCGTAATTTGTAATTCGTTTCGTTTTTTCTGGAAGGCTTAGTAGCAGCAGTTCCACTGATACTTTACCATTTGTGTAAATATACTTTGTAATTTCTCAATACATAATAAAATAATAATACTATAGCTTATGTGGTGAACAAAAAATATTATAGATACGATTCAATAATGATAGATTTTTGATATATCAAAGATGCTCTGTGAACACAGGTTTTATTTGTACACCTTCAATATATCAGAATTACAAAATTATTCACTACTGAGCCTTATGTCTATGACATCTTTCGTTCGCTACATTATAAGCTATGTTATATGTAAAAAGTAACTCATTTTATCAGGATTCAATTTTCCATATAATTAGTGCGGGATCTTTCGGATCAATAACTTACATAAAAATAGTTTGCGAGAATAGCACTCCTGCATTAAGAAACTTTTGAAAAAGATATTTCCTTTA